TCTTCTGCTCTTCGATGCAAGTTCAGGAAAAATCGGGACTGGGTTTTGTTCTTTTCAAAACTTCCAGTCGTTGTATGGTAATAAGAGGTATCATATAATCTGTATTAAGCTCCATTCATAAACTTTTGTGCACGATCCGTCGTTATTCTGCATTTCTTACCACTCTGAGGGAACACATTTCTGCCGATATAAGAACTTTCAAAAATAAAAATAAAACAAGGTATTCTGTTTTACTCAACTTACCACAAACGAAATTGATTTACTCTTAATCAAGGTCAGATCCATAATGAGTTGAAATCAAACAAAAGACGCCTATAACTGAGTGGAGTTAGTTGTATGCAGAGGGCATGATTCAGCAGAAAGAGAAACAAACTTCCAAGAGCGTAATTAGCACAACTTATCGGAAAGTATACTAACACAACGCGTGGTTATGAAGCACCTTAATTAATTGCAGACGTGTATTTGGGCCCGCGTTGGGCAGTCGGTCTTACTGCATCCAGTGATTCGCATTACACGGTTCAATTAACGGTTGATACAATACGTAAATGAATAAGTTAGGCGATAATTCCGGATTGAAATGGTTTACTAGTTTAAAATTAGTTATATGTTTATCTAAACACCTCTTATTGTTTTCTCTTGTTAGTTACATTACCAGAAGTCGGGGCTTCGTGATCAGCTCTCTTGTTTTGTATTCAGAAGGTCCCCTGTTCAATTATCAGCCCGGATACTTGCTGTCCCGACGGAGTAACCTTTTACAGCGGAAAAGATCACTACCGTTTTCTTCCTACTTCTTTTAAATTCGCCAGAATCGATAATCTCGTCCGGTTATACAATAAAAAACCATCTGTAGCTGCTATATTGCCCTTAAGTAACCTATTGTCCGTATCTGGGTAAGTACATTATCTAAGATTTGAGGTTTTCACAGCGGTGAGTATGAAGATTTCTATCTTCTGGGTTGTTGCGCTGTGTAGTTTGGTCGATGTTAACCAACGTTTCTGAGGTCATACTGCCTCCCTGATGACGGAGGCAGTATGACCTCTGAAACGTTGGTAAACATCGACCAGACTACACAGCGCAACAACCCAGAAGACAGAAATCTTCAAGTACATTATCGACAAAATTCATAAACCCAGTTATATCTAGTGACAAAAGTGTGGAAGACACAGATATTTGCGTCGGCCAGGAAAGGTCATTACTTTAAGGCAATGGTATTTTCGTTCTAGATTCGAAACAAGTGACACTTGGAGACTATCAGGATCAACGATCTCCAGATCACAATGCCGGACCGTGAGACCGTAGCTGCCTGCCCCTGCCTTTCTGTTCAATTGTATTGATGCACACGAGTCGAACTTTTTTTTTTTCGGTTGAGAATCAGTCGCCTTGGAGGATGTGAATAGATACAAAGTTGTCACAAATGGAACGCGACATTCTTTTGCGCTCAGGTATGAAATAAGAAAACCTAAAGGAGGACATGTAACTGCGAAAAACCTGTAAATAATATAATAAAACAACTTAGAATGTATCAAAAATAAAGTATTCAGCGCAACGAAATGAAGCCTTGTATGGCAGAAATTTGTAACGTGCTGTATAATTATATGGCATTGTACTATTGATAGAATTTTGATATTGCCTTAGTATCATTTCGAAATATTTGAACTAACAAATTTTTGAAGCATTTATACCATACTATTTTTGCTGGACTAGAAGACTGGGTCAGCTTTAGAAAGTTAGCAAATAAAAATATTTTATTGATAATTTGATCCAGAGAAAGAACTGAATCTTTTTTGTAGTGTGATTATTGTGGTTTTCCAAAGATTGTAACGTTTTATTAATACTCCACTGTTGACGAGACCTTTTCACCACTACCTAATACGTAGAGATTTTGTCGTCTTCTTCACTAAATAATGCTTTTACCCAATAAATTAAAACACGCAAGAGAAAACAAATTAGACGATGACATAAAATTATTTGTGCTACTGTATAACTGTAATCTTCGTAGTTTTTGCGAAGTGGCAACACCGCGGGTTTCGATGTCCTGGACGTAAGAAGAGGATCTGTGAAGGAGCTAAGTGACTTTACGTTATAATGTAATGGCCTTCTGAAAGAAGGCCGACTGTAATTAGTGGCATATAAATTCTGACAGTCGTTTTTATTTCTTCGGTGTGTGCTCATGCAGGTGTGAGCTGGTCACCATTGACGCATTCTCACTGAAGCATAGACGGAGTTTTTGTCGAGGTGGGATTTGTAACAGAACCACAGTCAATTCCGACCACATTGAATGAGTGCGTCACTGCCGTGCTCAGCCAGTATAAACAGGAAACTGCAGTTAGATATGGCAGAACAAATTCCTGACGCTTCGTGGTGGCAGTTTCCATCATGGCTGAATGTTACATATAAAAGCTAAGATGCGTTTGAATTACGTATAGGCCTTGTTTCTAATGTTAAGGTAACAAAGAGGCGAAAACACATAATACCGCTAACAATACTGAGGCACTTTCACCACGTCTTATATGGTCCGTGTTCGGTGTAGCCAGAACTTTACCGGTAACTTAAAAAAATTCGGACTCCGTGGGGCAGAGTTGTTGAGAAGACGGTAGTGTTTAGCGCGTCAAAAGAATCCCATCTTGTGGAACCCTAAGGCCTCCGAAGTGCCATCACAGTTTTACACGCAGGTACGAATTTGTAATAAATCGTAGCAACTTTAAACAGTCAACAAAACCGATTAAAAGTAGTTTTAAATGTTTCGTTGCAAATGACGTTTGAACATTGACATTAGCCAATAAAATTAATTGTTTACTCTTCCTGCGGACATGCGTAGAAATTATATTTAGCGACATGTCAATGATTTTAACAGCATCTTAATATTTTTTGTCAGAATTATGTGAAAACAGGGAGGAATCTATTGTGTATTTTTTTATTTTTTGAATTCACTTATAGACCTATGTTTATGCTTTAGTCATTTCTGTGTTGTAGTCCAAGGTTCTTTGTTCCAGTTATAATTCCATCGATTCTAATTAGCCACAGGCAAGTGCTTGGTCTAGCTGTGAGGGGAAGTGACCATGGTCTATTTTTCACATTGCCGCAGGATCTGTCTTCTAGAGGGAGTTAGAAAAACATACAGAATGTCTACCACCAGCCTTCAAGCGGAACTGGAAACTTCAACGTAACTGACGCATTACCATTGCGCTAACCCGCTCGGTATGCAGTGTTGGAAGAGTTCGAACGAAGGACTGCCCCAGGGGGCTTACAGGGGCCGGCGCGAGCCCCTGGTTATCTTCTTGTCTAATTATCCGAGTCCTTTGTTATCGGCACAGAAAGTATCAAACGAAACACGTGATGCACCAGTATCAAAATATCGATGCACCATATTCGTCCCTACTTCCAGATAAGACAAGAAATATGAACCTGTGTAAATGGAGGAAATCTATATACATTTTAAGTGTTTGCTGCTTCTATCATCTGGGATGCACGGCGAAACATCCCAGAAGACAGTCATCTTAATGGTACTTTGTTAGAAAGATTTCAGGCATAAAATGAATTTTTGTTGGAAGGTAATTGTCAGTTCGCTGTTGACGATTTCTGTTCGATATGTTGGGTTTTTGTGATGAATACGGTACGTCATAAATGCCCACATTTCAGCGATACACGCGAAATGTATTTGCATAAGTCATTGGTATTACGCTGCTTCTAACGGTCTGGCGAGACAGAGATAGTTATATGTACTGATTTCAAAATAGAAACATAAAATGTGCAGGTATGCGGGTCTCTGTGCTTCTGTACAGCTACTGTAGGCATAATTTAATGAAATTAAGATATGTTTCAAATTCCCGTTTTGCATGCATGAAAGTAATGAAGTAATTCCTGTAGCAGATTGACACTGGATTCTGTCCTTTTACTGAAAAACCGTTGATTTGCCATACTTATATTAGGAAAGGATATATAATGAAAGTTTTGCTAGAAATATCTTCCAACGTCACTAATCTGTCAGCATATTGCTGATAGAGATCTAGATGGATAGTTGAAATATATTTATTTTTGTAACCTGTAATAAAATGTATAATCTGATTGTCTTATAGAATATTCCTTATAAATAACTTAAGCTCATTTACTTTATAACATTCGTATTCTACTTCGATGCTATCTTTTGTCAACTCGTGCATGTTATTGAAAATTACGATGCATTTATACAGATTATATTCCTATCTGTAGCTGTAAGACTCAGTTTACTGGACTGTCAACACTCACAGACAAAAGAAAGTAGGTCCTCTAATTATACCTTAATTAGGTTTTAGAGACCTACGAATGGACAGAGAGATAATATTAAAAATCCATTTTAAAAATCAATGCTTTTATTGGTCACTATATGGTTATCAAAAGTCACTGAAATGTTTGTTGATGGTTGCAATTCAGTACAATTCGATTGGATTAATAAACACATCGCTGTGACCACACAAAAACCCACGCAGATCACGTCATATTGTAACCTGCTCGCGCCAGTCAGTCAATCAGCTGTCTTCAGAGTCGAAGTGCTAGGATGTTTTTGCACAAGTACAATAAGTGATCATTGTAGAAGACTATCTGGCATTTAGTTTTTATTTAAATTGCCAGAATTAATTAAGGATACATTTTCCGATTTTCCCCTGCGAACAGATGGACATCTCTTCTGGTGCTTCAGACATGATGAAAATGGTGAATGCATGCATCGCCGAACGCGGCGGACATTTCGACACTTAATATTATATTGTTTTTATGACTTAAATGTAACATACTTTTTGACAAACAGAACCTGTGTCACGATTGCTTTGCGAGATTTCGATTACTCTGTATTAAAACTACTTTTATCTTCCCTTCTCTCATTTTCATTCTGCACCATTTCCTCTTCAGTCCTTCTCTTTCTGCTCCCATGCCTCGAAACTTTTTAAAATATGATTCAAAATCTGGGTCGTCTCCTAAGTGACTTGATACAACTGTCTAAGCAAAGTATCTGTGTTCCGTTCCAGGGAGGAGCATAGCGCCATGTTGCTGACGTCGGTGGGTGCAGCGCACGCAGTCCAGGAGCTGAGGCCCACTGAAGTCGACAAGCTACAGGTAGGAATATGATTTGTCTACGTATCCAGTTAACTTCTAATACAACGCGCAGGTGAGATTCTATCAGAGCACCGCTGCGTGAACGAATAAAAAACCTTTTAAGGAGCAGAAAAGCCCAGAAGCAACAATGCAAGCGTTAGTTCCTGGCGCAGAACAAACCAGAAGGCCTTGGAAGTGCTGTGATCGATTTGAATCACAGAACGGATTGACACAGCTGGAAAACCCCTTGTGTTTAGCAGGCACCGGGTTTCGATCTTTACTGGAGCACCGGTTAACATTCACTGAGATTTTTCATGACTTTCCCTAGTCCTACTACTGTTTGAATATTAGTTTGAAAAATGCCTAATATTTTCCAGTTTATGGTATGTAATTTTATTCCCACTCGATTTGAAGGTTGAAAAAATGTGTTGAATCAGCGTAGTTTTGTTGCACAAATAACCATCAGGTACCACTTTCAAAGATGCTCAGAATAAAAGAGATTCAGAGCGGTTTTGTTAAATTGAGTTAGTCTTTCAAATTTCTACGTAATGTCTAAATTTTGAATGATTCAGGAAACAAATTAATAAAGGCGCTGTTTTAGGACTGGGATACTTGTATCTGTGGCTGTTAGAGAGGTGAAACGCCTTTCATTAATGAAATTATAAATTTATGAAAAAAATATACATGTATACTGCATGTCCTAATATTCAGTTAATTCAATGAAGAACAGAAATTATATTTTAAAGAAAGCCTTTAATATTTTACAGTGATATGTTCGTTTTAATTTCATTTGTTCAAGACACATTTTAATATTATGTTCCCAAAACATTTGTCTGCCAA